GTTTCTTACCTCCGCCGAAATGCTATTTCCCTACTGCTAGTTGCTGGTTTCTCTGTAGCAGTCTCTGGTGTCACATGTTAATAACGCATTATGAACATTAAAAGTAGAACGTCATGTGGCCATATGGTTATCAAAACCATTTCTTAACCCCTCCTCAATGAGTGTAGATCTGCCCCTGGAGTCAATTAACACAGTGCACTAGAAGAATATAAAACAAATATTTCCTCGCCTTGCCCCTCATGCCTCCTGTGCTGATTCCAAATCTGCTCTGGAGGGTCAGGAGAACCCCAGAACAGTGCACTATATTTCTAAGATCTAACTTTTATTGCCCTTAGAAAAGCCCTTCATGATCTTTGTTTCTAAACAATGCCTTCAGCCAATTTGGAGGGAAAGCATAAAGGGATTCCTTATGTCGAGCAGGCATGCGTTTGTAGTACTAAGGAGGTGCATTATATTTTGCATTGCCCCATCTTACAGCTCATATTTGAAAGCAAGAGCTGGCTGGTCCCTGACTGATGTTGTTTGTGATGTGTTGGCAGACCACAATAGATTCATTACAAACAAAGTTGCACCCTTTGGCAGTAGCATCTTAAAAATTCACCACAATTTTCTAATGATGTTTGCCGTGCACAGCAAAGAGGACCATCCACAATAGTATTTTGATGTTGTTAGTTTTGGTTTGTATTCATAATTAGTAATGCTATTATTAGTGCTATGTCTTGTCCCTCCTTCTCTGGTGTTTGTCCTAGCAGGAGTTTAGATTTGCTACCAATTTGTGATTGTAGGTACTTGAATCATAGAGTTGGAAGGGACCCTGAGGCTCATTTAGTCCAACCAATGCAGGAATACGCAGCTGTCCCTTATGGGGATCAAACCTGCAACCTTGGCGTTATCAGCACCTTGCACTATTCCCCTGTTTTGTAACAGCCATTGTGCCACAGACATATAAAATCCCTGGCTCACAGAAAGGTGGAGTATTCAAATTATGTAAATAACGACAAAGTATATAAAAATCAAATATGGTCAGGCACAAATGCAGCTTATGAATACATTTCCTTTAAAAAGTTAAGCTATTTTAACATGGGGAGGTAAAATCATTTGAGGAGTTTTAACCCTGAATCCAAATTTCTGTGCGTTTTCAAAAATAAAAATGCCTCTCTGCCAAAGCAAACAATTAAAAGATATCTGTACTCCAGTGCCAACCACTGTCAAGACCACGGCAGGGACTTGGCCTACTCACCAGAACAAAGAAAGGAACTGCACAGAGATTAGTGCGACCTACAAAAGCTACCCATGGCACCTAAGCTGCCCAAGGAGGTCATGTGAATGAAGTCTGATTACCCCTTGCTCTCTCCAAGAGTATCCAAGCCAGGCACCTGTTTCTTTGCTTCCAGCAACAAAGGGGCTCAGGGAATTCTGCTCTTCAATGCAGACTCACTTCACCTAGCCTTTGCCAGAGCTTTTCTTCATCTCATCCGCATTTGCTTTGCCTTGCCAATGCCGTTTGACCCATGCTGATTGGATGGGAGCCAGATCTGATGGCCTCCTGACTTCAATCGTGTCAAGTCTGCTTTTTAAAAAATAAATAATTGGTTCGGTATAAAGAAATAATTAGAAAGGTGGAATATGATTGAGTGGCACCTATATATGTACACATCATGGTCTGGCTCTCTTACAGCGCGGCGGAAATGTGGTGACGTGTAATGGGATCTGGTTGCAGGGATTTCAAAGCCGCTGCTACTTTTCACTTGGAAATTAAGCCCTAAAAAATCAATAATAGAGCTTCAATATTGGGTTGTATATAGTATTTTCATTGTGGTTTTACTAGACCTGTAAAATGCCCACTGTGGAACAGTATCACAAGGAACTAATTCATGGTGCTAGTTTAAGATCCAATGTGTGCTTAAGAATTTGCGTGGAGGGAGACTTCAGAGTAGTGACAGACCCATAGAGGTTTTCGTGTTTAAAAGAGCTCTCTTTCTTCAAATGAAAGGCAGGGTAACTAGAAACTAAACTATAATAAGGTAGGTATTGTAGGATTTGAAGCTTCAAATTACCTTTCTGTGGCTGTGTGAACTGCAAAGGGAAACAGGGCTAAGGGTCCTAGCTCCACCATCCCACGCTTTCAGGCAGCTGACGCAGCTGACTTGCTGGAAAGTAACAGACTTGTGGTAAGGCAAGATTTAGTAATAACAAAAGAGCTCAGCAGATGCATTAGGAGGATTAGGGCCAGCAAAGTATTGCTTTAGTTTGAGCTTTCTGATTGGTCTTGTAAACTGTAATCTGGAGTTCCCATGAACCCCTGGAAAGAATGTAAGACAGAACGTAAGAACAAAAGGGAGAACATAAGATGGGAAGGAAGGTCCATCTAATTCTTTGCTGGTTTCTGTCCCCTGTGGCCAGCCAGCAAACGCCTTTAGTTTCACACATATAGTATGCTAGGGGGAGAGATGAGATTCAGGATTTCAAGGCAAAGCCACCTAATTTTCATTTTCTGAGACAATGCATGAACTGAAACACAGCCACTCTTCAGAATTCATGCCTCTGCAAATTTTGCAATGCAGTTCTCCAACCAAGAAATGGCTGCTATATTTGGCCTCCACCTCTCATAAATATTGGTAGGCTTTCGTTTTCCACAGATGAAGGACATTTCAGCCAGGGAAAGGCTAGTGTTTTCCTCCTGCACATCTCCCTCATTCACACACACACACACACACAGAGAGAGAGAGAGAGAGAGAGAGAGAGAGAGAACTCAACTTTCCTCCAATGGTCATTTAAATCCACCCTCATCCTCCATGGGAATGGAAAAGTAGGAATGAAATAAGAATAGTGAAAGAGATGGTGAGAATCACCTCCCTGTTTTCTATTGCTGGAGAGTTCTGCTAGATCAAAAACCTTTCTCTGATCAGGTCAATTTTGGAAGCAACCCCTTCTTTCTCTCCATTGAGTTCTGTATCTAGACTATGCTGACTGAGGTCAGTGCATTAATGACATGAATTCCTGCTTGACCCTTCCCTCCCACCAGCACACACCCCTACTATTATTCTTTCCTTGTACAGAAAAAGTTGACGGAAGTATTATTTTTATTATCATATGGCTGATTGTGCAAATATTCCCTTAATGTTGTGGCAATTTATGTTATGGGGCAGCATAGGTAAAGGTAAAGGGACCCCTGACCATTAGGTCCAGTCGTGACCGACTCTGGAGTTGCACGCTCATCTCGCTCTATAGGCTGAGGGAGCCGGCGTTTGTCCGCAGACAGCTTCCGGGTCATGTGGCCAGCATGACTAAGCCGCCTCTGGCGAACAAGAGCAGCACACGGAAACACCGTTTACCTTCCAAATGCCATAAATAAATAAACAACATAGCAGGTAGCTCAATCCTATAAGGCAAATTTTATCCTGTGTCACCTTGGCTAAAAATGCATCCTTTGCTTGGCAAGTAAAGCAGATTTGGCCATTTCCTGCCTCTGCTGACAAAACTGTCACACCAAGCATTTGGTCAAAATAGCATGCATGTCTGCTTTTCCTTTCTTGTGTCAAATTCTCCAAAATAATTACATGTGCTGGACATATTTGTCCACATTCTAATGTTTGAAACCAAAGTTTACTCGAGGTAAGTTTAATACAGCATCTTTCTTGCTGTGGTGCAACTATTTGGAGCCTATAATCTAGAAAACAGTTATCTATAATTCACAGTTTACAATAGCACGTTCCCTGTTTGCTCAAATAGATGCTCTGTCTGCTTGCCCTGTGCCAGCTGCTCTTCAAACAAAAGGAGGTGGTTGCCAAATGACTTAGCATGCAGTTAAAATAGCCTCCAAAAGTGATTACTGTATATCTAGCATCTGGTCCAAAGACAGAAGGCATCTGCTGTCAAAGATTAGGGCTGATTTTGTAGTAGTTTCTATAATGAGCTAAATAACCTTGCCTCAGATTCTACTGATGTGAAAGCAAAAATCCATTGTGGATGGCTTGAAAAAGAAAATCTTTGTAGTCAGTGCCTGTTAGTGCCATGGGGGATACAGATGCCTCTTTTTGATGCCCTTGGTAAATACATCCTTTGAGCACAGAGGCACAGTGAGAATGAAAGTTTAGCCTTTTCCAGGTATAGCTAAGAGAAAACCATCAGCTGTATGAAGTCTGACAAAACTCTTCAGGAATGTTCCTAGTTTGCACATCTGTAGAAACTTCAGTCATTAAAAACTATAATTGTACAGAAATGTCAAATTCAAATTTACAGTCTCTCTCATTTAGAGGTGTTGACTCAATCCACTGCAGAGTACTGTGGGTATTTAAATAATTAATCGGAAGATCACAAAATTAGAAGATAGGATTTCACACACACAAACAAAAATTCTAGCCTGCTAGGAGGCCTATAATTTCCCACATAGCTGGAATATGTCAGTTGGAAGCAGTGTCTGGGTGGAAATCACTTGAATTTCTGGGAGAATCATGGCAACCCATGTTGGAAGTCTTGATTTTGCCAAATTTCCTTAAAAATAGCTCAAAGACTAGACTTTATTTTTTTATATATATATTTTGAGATTTTGCAAAAAATGTCAATGACATTTGTGTCCAGATTTTCACCTTTGGAAATATGGCAACCCTATATTGATACATAGAAAGACAAAATATCCTCATCAGTAATCAAGATACCCATCCTATCAGAACACAGCAAACTTCAAAATCTGCTTTAAATTAATTGCAACAAGCACATGAGAAAGTCCACCATTTTGTAAGTAGACTGTTCTAAAAATGAGTAAGAAAATAAATATGTTTTTCCAGTAACAAGCCAAATTCTATTCTATGAAACCTTGGGGTTTTGGTGGTAGAAATATAATGCTCTTAATCAGAGGTAAGGCATAATAAATAACTTGTAATAAAGGAAACTGTTTGAAAACTGTAGTATCATCTTAAATCACTTAGAAGAAGAAAAAATGCATTTTAGAGAAAACAATAGAAACAATGCTTTATCTTCTCATAATGAACACCTGATGCCTTCACAATGGTTGGTATGTGGAGCTGCAGGCAGAAAAAAAGAATTGGATGTCTCCACTGATTGAAAAACCTGTCACCCAATATATTAGCACAATGTATCGTCACCAACACCATGCTTATTCTGTAGCATTTGGAGGTGAGGCACAAGTATGGACAAACTAGGATTGCTTTTCCAGATGCAGTAATTGGCCCGCATTTGCTTGTTTCATTATATCCTGCCTTTCCTTCAGCATAGAACCCAAGTCTCTGCGTACATGGGGTTCCCAGGCAAATATGCATCCAGACACTGACCAGACCCAGACTTCGTAAGCTTTATCAAGGTGATGGTATCATGTGCCTTTGCAGGCATTCCTCTTTCAGACAAATGTTTCATGCTGTGGAAATGGGGGCTACTCAACATTTCTGTGAAGTGCCCTACAGAGATCTGTGTAACAGATATTTTCCTTCTAAAATTCCCCTCCTCCGAACTTCCCCAAATTTTGGATTTGTAATTACTTCTTGTTTCTGAAATGACACATTAGGAAAACGACACATTAGGAATCTTTCATTGTTGCCTTTAAAGAATCTCTAAACTTTATTCAGAATGCGATCTATTTTCAGCAGCTTCGGTTCCTTTGTCTCTTCCTCCCTCTACATTCCCGATGCAAAGAGCTGCAAGGATTAAACACTGCAAAACAGAAGCAATCACGACGTGATCTTATTGGGCACCAATTGCAGCACAATCCCTTTTTGTACGGCATTTTACCAATATACATATTTGCACATCAGTAAAAGATAGCACAAAAGGGATCTTTTCTGAGTTACCTAGAAGTATGAATGCATCATGGTTGGCTTTCGGGAGCATTTTAGTAAGGTGAATAAGAACACCTGTAATGCAGGGAGAAGCACGAAGGAACCAAGAGATCTGAAATAAGTAGGAAATTGTACATAAATCCAGACTAAATTTTCCCCTACTTCCCGTTGTGTTTTAAGTTGCATTCTGAGGATGTCTCCACCTGAGACCCATTCTCCAATTTCTTTCCCTGCCTCAAATTCCAATTCACTGAAGCTGCCTTCTGCGCATGCACAATGGCTGCCTGAACTATACACGCCTCAGCTTAACCACGGCTTCAGCTTTCCAATTGGATGGAAACTGATTTGCAGGAAAGCACATCAAACAGCAGCATTCCTCAAGCAGTTACCTGTAGATTGTGGCTAACATCATGTAGCCTCTGCTTCAAACTCTAGTGGTGGGAACATGCTGGAGCAACACAGCCAGGGCCGGATTTAGGTTTGATGAGGCCCTAAGCTACTGAAGGTAATGGGGCCCTTTATATGTCCAGCTGTCCTTTGTCAACAACAAATTGTCACTGTTTTTTGTGTTGAATATATGCTATATGGTAATTTATGGACCTACACAACACAAACCCCTGTTGCTGTACGTAGGTTTTATTTTATTTGTTTTTTATCTTATATTTTGGAAATGTACATCCAGTTGTTTTTTTCCTTTAAATTTTTTGGGGGCCCCCAAGAGAGTGGGGCCCTAAGCTATAGCTTGTTTAGCTTTTACATAAATCTGGCACTGAACACAGCTGTGTATACAGCCTCAGTTTCTCTCTCACACACTTTCCCTCAAGATAGCTAACTTTCTAACACTGTGGAAGCAAAAGATCCCCATGTTAAAACAAAACTGTCGGGGATTCTGATGAACAACAGCAATATCTTCTACTTTTGTTAAGAGGGGTCCGAGAAATTACTTTATGCTGCTATTTATTTTTAAAGGCTTTGATAGGCAGTATCAGACACCTGCAAAATTGAAACCGCAGATGCTCATTTTATGAGTGTAGAGAGAAAATGCAATATTAATAATCTTATATTAATCTAGCACCTTGGTTTGGAAATGATATTGAAACCAGATTTAAGAAATTACTCTAGGGAATGACCCAAAATTAGTTTCCTAACCAAATGACCTTCTGATTCATATGGAATAGGGAATGCATGTCCGTTTGGGTGGTCCCTAACACTTCAGCTGTACTGAGATGGGCAGGGTTCACCAGGGTTGTGTGCAGGGAAAGTGTGTACCCGTGTCTCTCCACTTACGCACGGGTTACATTCTAGACCCCTGCACGCATAAGTGAAAATTGTGTTAAGTGGGAAGCACCCTCTTAAAAGTCTCTAAATTTTGTCTTGCTCTCCAGCTCTTGCTGCCACCTTCTCTCCACACAACCATCTCTTTAACTAAAGTTGAAGCGCTGGGGGATGTGCAGGAAAGCGACTGCTGCTGCTGTGCTGCCCCATGCATCAGCCGCTAGGCAGGGAAGCTGAGCAGCCTAAACAAAACCCCACTGCACCTCCGGTCTCTTTGGGGCTTCCTCCCCAAATTGAAGTCCTTTTCATGCTCCAGGGAGGGTCTTCTCACCATTTGCAGGTTTTAATCTATTTATTTATTTCCCAGGCCACACGTATATGTGCTTGTGAATCGTTAATACCTTCATCATATATATTTTTCCGTTTCTGAAGAAGTGTCTGTCTGCTGTTGCAATTTGTTTTATGCGAATCATTCTGTACAAGTCTTCTTCTATCATGTTCAACAATGTATAATTGAATAATTTTTCATTTAGCCTTGGCAGAAAAATAATTGAAAGACTTGATCATTATTTTCTACCAGAAACCATTTAAATTGTTGGTTTTCTATTTCTGCTTCTACATTTGCACCCATCTATGAATTAGTTAACAACAAGCCAAACATAGTCTTTGACCATAAGAAATGAAATTTCAGTATGGAAGACTGAAGCTGTCCTAAAAAATAAATTGTGCTCTAATAACTTTAAACCACAAACCTGCTTGAGTGCTTATAGAAAATTACAGAATTCCAATACTTTTGAACTGCTCTGTGTTTTACATGTAACTGTAAAAAGTTCAAACAAAAGTCTGATTTGCACTTTGAAAAGCTGCTTGCATGACCATAAAGTTCTGTTTCAATCAAGGCTGAGGTAATAATGCGTTCAAACCAGGCTGGATTGTGGTATTTATAAGTCTAACCTAAATGTAGAAGACAAGTCAAGAGACTAAGCTCAGAGGAGAAGCAGGTGGGGTAAAAAGTGAACACAAGTACTTCGGTATTTTGTAACTTGTTTAGACATGCAGATGCAGCGTTTGATTAATGCACATCAAGTGGTGATTTGTATTTGTGAAGTGAACCATCACAAATATAATGTGCATATTGCCTATGATTTGCAAGTTCTTTTTATTAATAAATAAATAAATAATTGATCATACAAAAGGCAAAACACAGAGTAGACATACAGAGGCACAGTCAGTTACAAATTTCATCAGTGAAGGTTTTCTCTATACTTTAAACTACAAAATTAAGATTTTTTCCTTTGCTTCCTTACTTTTATTTCCTTGGCTTATTCACATGCTCACAACATCATGAACTCAGCTCTGCCAGCCTCTTGCCTTACCTCCCCTACCAAATATCTGATTGCCATATCCCCTCTCTACACAGTTGTTCTATATTTTTTGTGGATTTTTTAATTACACCAGTCAGTTTCATGAGTTCCAACCAAGCTCAGCACCAGCTTTATGGGGACTCTGGGGCAGTGGGCATCAGTGGGCCTCCTGGCCCCATCTTTCTACCTCAAACCACACTCCTTGTCCACCCTTGGCCCCACCCCTTACCTTTTCCTCTCTGCTTCTTCGTGTTCTCAGATATTTCTACCCTTTCTTCTTCTCCACCCCTCCCACTTTCTTTCATTTTATGGTATTGCCTTTTACTCTCTCTATCGCCTTCCCCGCCTTTTTTACTCACTTTCTTCTGTCTTGCATCATCTTCTGTGCCGCTTTCATTCGCCTCGCTGTGATTCTTGCCCCCTCCCAATGTCACCTTGCATGGAATACTAGGCCAGGTGTACACAGTGGCTTTAGGCAACTAAAACAAGAAAAGAGGACAACTAGCTGGCACCATCAGAGCTGATGAAGTGGATGCACATAACCCCATTCCATCCCTTCAAACCCATTTTGGGTAAGGAGACACTACAAGCAGTTCTGATATTGCTGGTTATTTTATTTTAGAGGGGGGTAGTATTTTTCTCCCTGTATGCAACTATTTAATTGCCACAGTGAAATAATTGGCATGGTAATTTAATGTGATAAATGGGCATATTGTTCAGCCATAAAATTGGACAAGATTAATGATTAGGGCTGCTATAATTAAAGTATGGTTAACTATTAGTACTTGCACTTCAATAATTCCACGATTAAGTTCCTGATAAAAATTTGGTTTTTAACACGTCCTATTGCTAAATATAATGCTAAGTACTGCAAATGTTCTGCTGCGGAAAGGCACCAAAGTTGAGAAATATATTCGTGTTGTTCTTAATGAAGGGGAAAGCAGCATTCAAAAGAAAAAAGAAAATAGAAGTTACTTCTTTTGTTAAATCTATTTGTTTGTGCCCTGTACTACTTGTAACAATGAAGCAGAAATCAATGGATTCTTGAAAGAAAGAGACATTTTAGTATATAATTCTGCTACACATTTTGTTGTTTTACAAGTTACTGTTAATTTCCACTTGCTTCCAAAAACTTGAACTGCTTGAATAAAAGTAACAGGAAGACACAGGCAGCTGTATTATTCTGTTCATTGTGCTATGAAATGCCTGTCAAGACCTTTGCCAGATTGTGGCTTCCCTGTGCGCCCTAACTTTTTCCCAAGCACGTTCAAGTCTTCATGGGAAAACAGGAGTTTAAGTTGTTCATCGAGATCAGCAGTCTCCTGTCACTCAGGCATCAGCAGCTTGGAACTGATCTGTCGAGGGATGTTGGTCAAGTGAACTGAAGTACCGTATTTGGGCCAGTTTTATTGCATATTATGCTGGGTTGGTTTTACTACAAATTATAAATACTAACAAGAAGCAGTTTGAGTGTGGTTAGGACTAGCTATTCCTCCATATATTAGGGCTAGTAGCATGTGGGAGAGATGGTTAAGGATGGATGAATCTATTTTCAGTCTGTTTATAAAGTTATGTATGGAATAGAGAAAGTGGATAGTTCTTCTCCCTCTCTCATAATACTAGAATTCATAGACTTCCAATGAAGCTGAATGTTGGAAGATTCAGGACAGATAAATAAATAAGTACCGTACTTCTTCATGCAGCCCATAATTTAACTATGGAACTTGCTCCCACAGGAGGCAGTGTTAGCCATAATCACATGGACGGCTTGCCATTATGGCTATGCTCTGATTCCACAGTTAAAGACAACTGTGGCGTTTGCCTCCAAGGATGCGCCAAGGAAAGGGTTAAATGGGTGTGATGTGATTGGCCAGTGAGAATGCAAGGGGGGAGTAAAAGATAGAGTGGGAGGTTTTGAAAGTCAGTTGAGGATTGGGAGTTGGGAGTTGAGGTTTGTCAGTTGGGAGTTGAGGCTTGGGTGTTGGAGAAGGAAGAGGGAGGCTTAGGTGTGGGTTGGCAGAGTTGTATTGTGAGAGAGTGAGAGGAATTGTTAGGTTGAGTCAGATAGATAGTTGGGAATAATTCAGTTTGAAGTCGTTAAGAACTAAGATTTGGAAACTGACAAGAGAAAGATAAACTGTAACCATACGCTTGTTCCTACATTTAAAAATAAACTTGATTATTTGTTTATGTTAACAACTGTCTGGACTCCGTGTGTCCCCGTGAGCAGCGGGGTGGTGGCAGCGAAGAAAGCAACCGCAGTGGTGGCACAGGGTCAATAGACCGTGAAACGTCCGGGGGCCCTGTGTGATCGCCACAGCAACATTATTTCTGAATACCAGTTGCTGGAAGACACAGGCGTGGAGAGCACTCCTGAGCTCAAATCCTGCTTGCTGATCTCCCACGGGCATCAGGTTGGCGGCTGGACTCCATGGGCCATTGGCCTGATCCAGCAGGCTCTTTTTATGTTCTTAAGCATAAACACAGGTAGGCAAATAGTATTAAAATGTCGACCCTCTTAGCTTATTTTCTTGTATATTCTGGATTCATTGCCTCCTTAGGCAAATGCCCACTGAGAGCAGCGGATTAACTATGGGTCTGTTTGTAGTGGATTTTGAAAGTCGCAGAAGTGACTGATGATCTAGATGCCTTTGGAAAGCTAAGAGGTAGAGAAGAAAGGGATGCCAAAAGCAGCAAATGAAGCTTAAGGGTCTAAATATATGTGGCATTAATAACATGATTAGCATTGGGTGTTCTCCTCTCTTAAAAAAAGAAATTAATTGCTGGGGCGGGGTGGCATTCCACAGATTGTGGCTGAGATTGTGATAATAAATTGCTGAACTTTTAATAACATTGGCTCACTAGGCTGTGCATTTAATTTTTAAAAACACATGACGTGATTCCTAATAATGTAATTACCTTCCTGTGTAGTGACTTGGGCCCTTAGAGTTGCAGGTGATGGGGATCAAACTGAACTCAAGGGTACAGAATTTTTCATAAAGTTAACCAGACAGTATTCAAGGCTTCTGCAAGACCTACCTTCCAAAAGCATTATCCTTTATCTGAGAATCATAGGGCTGTTTACAATATATATAAAAAATACCATAATAACACACACACACACACACACACACACACACACACAAATACCCACCCACCCCAGTTTAAAAGGCCATAGATTGTTTAATTTGCCAAAGGAGAAGAGGAATGGTTTTGTCTGGCACCCAAAGATATGTAATGAAGGTGTCAGGTGAGCCTCCCATTCCACAAATGGGGGCCACTCTAGAAAAGGCCAGTTCTCGTATTCTCACCCCCGAACCTCTCATGGGGGGGTCTCAGGAAGAGCCTCAGATGATGATTGCAGGGGCTGTGTTGGTCCATATAGAGAGATGCAGTCCTTGAGATATTGTGGTCCTAAGCTGTTTAAGGCTTTATAGGCTAAAAACAACACTTTGAGTTGGGCCTGGAAACTAATTGGCAGCCAGTACAGTCAGGCCAGAATCTACCTTATATGTTCAAACTGTCTTGCCCTGGTGAACAACCTAGCCCCTGAATACTGCACCAGCGGAAGTTTCCAGAAGTTTCAGAGGCAGCTCTTTGTATAACGTGTTGTGGTAATTTAACCTAGAGGCTACCAGAGCATAGATTACAGAAGTTAGGCTATCCCTGTCCAGACAGTGGTGCAGCTGGGCCACCAGCCCAAGACAATGGAAGGCACTCTGTGTTACTGAGGTCACTTGAGCCTCAAACCAACAGCAATGTATTCAGACGTTACTCCAAGGTGTGTACCTCCTCCTTCAGATGGTGTGCAACCCAATCAAAAACAGGCAACCTCCCTCCATCCAGTCTAGGGAACCGTCCACTAGCAGTGCTTCAGTCTTAACTGGGTTAAGCTTCAGTTTATTGGCTCTCAACCAGTTCATTACCAAGGCAAGACAATGGTACAGAACATCCACTGCCACACCTGCAGGTGCAAAGGAGAAGTAGAGCTGTGTGTTGCAAGCATATTGCTGACAACATATTAAGAAATTCTAATGAGGCAGTCATATGAAGTCTAGAAAATGGAGCATCCTTTGCAGTCTTTTTTTGGATTAAAAAACAACTTGGAGAATATTGCATACAATGTAGACCTCTAGACCATGGGTTTTAATCTCAGTATACATGATAATTGCTGTTACAGGGATGTTGGGAGTAATACAAACACTACTTTGTCAGTTGTTACTATAACTGAAATGAGGCTTCATTTTAATGTTTTAAGGTTGTATTTTAATCTTGTTTTTTTAAGCTGTATTTCAATCAATTGTTTGTATATTTGGTGTTAGCCTCCCTGAGCCCGGTCTCGGCTGGGGAGGGCGGGGTATAAATAATAATAATAATAATAATTATTATTATTATTATTATTATTCCTTTTTAAAAAAGTTTCATTCTGACCTTACTCCTCTCCATCCCCCACCATGTTTGTACATGCATGTCTGCTAATTAAGGATAACATTTCATACATTTAAGAAGTGGACTTCAGCCCATTTTTTGCTGCAACAGACTACCCTGCTTGTATCATTCCTCCCCCCACTGTATTAATTCTGAATGAACTAAGCCTTTCGTACACCTGTTGGGCATACAGTCCCTCCATCTGCTCTGCACCTTCCATCGGCTTCCTCATATCATCTGAGACATTGAGGAGGATGGTGTCCAGAATATATAATAAGACCTTCTACCCTATAACATAGCTGTCAGAGGCAGTTTGCCAGTTGATAGTTATTTGTATGTATGTTTAATTACAAACTGCTTTAGCAATTCATATAATATCTTCAAGCATGTACTAGTTAAATGTTCCTCATGAGCAAGCTTTCCCTCATGCGCTGTTTCCCCTCATTTCCAGAACTGCAAGGCGCAATAAACTGTGCTCTCCAAGAAATTTAATTTGTTCTTTATGCACGAGATTGATAGGTCAAATCTTTTCATGGATTAAAATAGCATTTATAATCTACTTTGGATCACAGTCCTGGCCCTTTCCTTTCATTTTTGTATATTGGCAGCTTTTGACAATATAATAAATCATGCAGAAGGGACATTAATTTTGAAGAGACACTGCTGGGTTACTATGAGCTCTGTTTTGGCACAACTGATGTATTCTCAAGCTCACAACAATTTCATTCCACTTGATTTCTTTTTCTTTACATATAGCTTTTCCGGGCTCTTTATTCGGATTGTATTATACTATGTGCTTTTGTTAAAACTAGACTGGCCACATAAGATGGCAAGTCATCCTTGCCATGATGTTTTATCCCTAAGCATCATTTTGTTCTTGCAGGGGTCTCCTGGGAACTTGTATTGGGACACTGAGTAGGCACCAAACGATATTCTCATCCACTTCAATAGAATTTTAGTGAAGTGTAGCTACTCCCAAGGTCACTGTGGAACAGACTGTTTTCTTCCGGTCTCTATGTAAGACGATTCTCCTTCTTTCTCTCCCTCCTGTCACTATATATAGTATTCTTTCCTTGGAGGCAGTTTTAAAGTGGTGGTTACTCTTTAATGGTTTGTTTTCACCTCAGCAAAGGGCATCTCCCAAGTGGCACTGATAGGTCTCCCCAGCCATCAAAATGTCTCCCTGTGGCAGGCTCCCTCTAAGCCTTTCAAGCATTGTATGTCTTGCTTCTGTGGCCTCTTGGCTTGTCGTATGTGTCAGACTGAAAAATCAAAATACTGTTCTACCCATGCCAGAAATGTGGTTCAGGTCCTAAATAGCCTAAAAAGAGAAAGTACTCAAATTGAGGGAAGGCCCTCAGTGGTAGGATCAGGGCAGGCCCACTCACGAGACAAGGTGCACCAGGGCAGCGGATCCTGATATCAGTATTTCTTCCCTTTCTTTCCTGGTCGAGGGGTGCATGTACCATTTTGGGGTCTTTCTCAGGTGCCATAATTTGTTGGGCTGGCCCTGGGTAGGATATCTGCTTTGCACGCAGAAGGTCCCACGTTCAATCCCTGGCATCTCCAGGTAGGACTGGGAATACCTGCCTGTCTGAAACCCTAGAGACCAGCTTCCAGGCAGTGTAGCATCCTTACTGATGAGGCAGTTTCTTATGCTTGTTTTATTCAGCTCCAGGCTATTTCTTTCTTAAGCAGGTAGGAGGGCATAACCTCCCCCAATAAATTTCCTCACTACCTTCCAGTGTGCAAAGCAGTTTCATCATTCCAACCAGGGGTGGAGGAAGGGGGTGCGGTGGGGGTGGCTGCCCTGGGTGTCACCACTGGGGGGGAGGCACTCACCACAGGGCCTGCAGTGTGCCTGGGCCACGCATCCTGGGAGTGACACGGTGGATTGGGCACCCACAGGCTCTGTGCTGCCCAAACAGTCCGCCCGCTGCCTCCCCCTCAACTGTAGGGCGGCTGAGTGGGAGGAGGCAGGCAGACTCCTTGGAGGCCCCATGGAGCATCCTGCCCCAGCTCGCCCTGCCCCGTGGCTGGCTGGCCCCGCCCCTGGGTGCAGGACATGCACACCACCCCAGACGCCCAATCAGCTTGCTCCACCGCTGATTCCAACAACCCAATGAAGTAACTACTAGATTTTCTTGTTCACAAATGGGACCATGATCCAGAGACGTATTTTAGGCTGCTCAAGAGTTCTTACTACAAGTGAATGCAGGAGTGTGTGGGGTCTGCCATTTCCCCTCACCTTTGCCTCTTTATTCCACTCCGTTTCTTTGATCCAAAGGTTTGAACACCTACAAAACCTCAGGAGACTGGTGCTTCAGGCCAAATTACTAGTTGTAGTTTATAGTTTCAGCATATTCTTTACAATGAAGAAAACAAACTGTTTGTGTGAACTAACCTGAGAAATGCCACTACTCTGTGCTGTGCATTGTCAGGAAGAGTGATTTGGCACTCTTTGTTTTTGGTGGCTCCAACAAGGTGAAGAGAATACCTACACTTATCAATCTTCTCTCTGCCACACAGCCATTATAAAAGCATAGAAAGAAATCACATTTTGCTTCATAACTGGGAAAACTATGTGCATTTTCTTTTGTAAGAAATCACAGGGCTAAGGATTGTTGCATGGCTAACTCATGCCAATGCTGTGGCTGTGTTTAGAAAAGTCAGGAAATGCATTGCGTGCATAAATCCATAAGGGATTCTTGTCACATTAGAGTGCAGATTAGTTTTTCAATTTTGCAAGGCTGCAATAAACAATAATGGCAAAGACTTAAAACTTTGCTGACTTACCTGGAAGGCTGATACACACACACACACACACACACACACTTCTAAATCTGCATGCCTCCTCCACTAAAGTCAGCAGCCTCATGCTGATGTACATTGTAAAGAATCTAGGTCAGGGTGTTTGGGTTTTCTGTGGCGGTAATCAACAATGTGATATTCCTAATTAAACATATGCATTCATTCCTTAGATGATTAATCTCGCATTCAAAACAAAGAAAGAAACCTGAGACTTTCCCTTTCCTTGAATTATAAAGCTGCCTTTCTTTTCTTACTGCTTTCCTTCCCACTTAATGCTTTTGTTTAATTCTCCATTCATTGTTCTGAGTTGAGGTAAGTATCTGGAATTTAATAGAGTTGCAGGAAGGAAAAGTGCTCTGTTTATTTTTAAGAGAGAAAAAAAGGAAGGAAATCAGAATATACATTTTCAATAATAGAAAATGTGCTATGTAGAAGTAAAATTCACACACGGCTCTGTATCCACTTGTTTAGATGTCACAGAAAATTAAGCATGTATATCATTCCTTTCCACTAACATTCTTTCCTCTCCCCATCCCCCATCTTTTAGTCAGATTTTAGTAGGCTCATATGTGGCATGTTGTATAAGCTACAAATTTCTTGGGTTGTCAGATTATATAAGAACTTAAAAATTGTGCATATATGAATTCACAATACAATGAGTGTGTATGTGTGTATGAGAGAGAGAGAATTGGGAAAAGGGTGGGCAAATAATTCACCTAAATTCCATTTTTTTAAATCACAATTAATTAAATGTACATAGGCTTGAGCAAAGAGAAAAAGGAATAAATTCTACAGACCTATGTCATGAACGGAAGAATATTTTGTTATAAACCAGAGGTATATTCACACGTTCCCAATGACATTGTGGGTGGGTGTTTACTAAGATCGCGACCACCACTTCCTTCTTCACTCACCAGAGGTAGATGTAGGAAGGAAAAGGCTAATCAAAGAGGAGTTTTCAAATGCTCATCCAGTAACCACACAAGGCAACTCAAGTCTAACTATAAAGTTTTATGTCTCATTCTGGAAGAGAAAGCAACATGATTTTTAGGTGTAAATTTTGAAGGCATGTGTTAAATAGTTCTAGAGATAGATGACAGCAGTTAGGACTGGTAGGACAAATGTTTTCCCCCATGGTCCAGTGGGCCATTACAAATTAGGGCTATGGTTCAATAAGTTTGGAAGTAGGGGACAAGAGGAGAGAGAGAAAGTCACAGAGATAGTTTTAAAAGTTGATGAACTAAGAAATAGGGGAGGGTATTTAATGTAGCTGTGAACTAAGTCTGTGGGGAGAAACGTTTTGCATTCAGTCATTGCTCTGCTGACGTATACTGTACTGATGCATTGACACAAAACAGCAAGCCCTAAACTGGGCCAAGTGGAATTTAGAAGGCCCTCAAGCAGAAATGCTTGGAGGAAATACTGAGAAAGTTTTCAAGCCAAAAAGCTGACATCTATTCCTGGGCAAATGGAAGACAACATCCACCCCACCCAGTAGTGGTTTCTGAAGCCAGCCAATGTATTCTTTTAGAAGAAGATGGACCAACTCTGTGTCTACGGAAGCATGTGGTGGGTGGAACTCTTGCCTTATAATTGTGGGATACAGAGACAGAAAACCAGCTTTCTTATGCTGAAGGATTTTTGAAGCATACTTGGTCTTCAGGGATCCTTGATCCAAGTGATTGCAACTTAGTCCTACTTTAGGCAATTACTCTAGAAACGTTCACATATGCAAGCATGCTGAGATTCAAACTCTTTTTAATGTTTAAATGATAGTATATTTCTGTACCTGTCAACTATTGTTACTAAAGCCTTATGAGGATTCAGATTCAAGTGACTAACATTGAGTCTGGAATGTATACAAAGACAGTGGAAGGCCTGGAGTAAGTGGAAAGTTGTACTAACTGCAAGTCATGGTGGGTGACGCTGATTGACTGAATTGGCCTTGGCTTCCCTGATTAGTAACCTATATCAGGAGAGGGACTGATGAGTGTGACCCTGCTATACTCTTACAGAAGTTTTTTGAAACTTGGCCACTGTATCCTCCAGAATTGACTGAACAGGATGGGTACTGGAGGCAATGAATTACAGTGGTTCCATTCATACCAGCAAACGATTGCGCTGCCACATTATGCAATGGCTGGAACTTCCAGGTCAGTCTCAAGGGCAGCCTCACATAGAGCACAGTGCACTAATCCAATCTGGAGGTGACCAAAACAGTGGTTGGGCTGTGGTCAGTTGGGTGAAATATATTTGGATAGCTCAAGATGATATGTTTGCATCATTCTAACACAGCCAGTTTAGCTAGGTTGGAAATCCCTTTCATACCCAAACGAAGACTCAGGGCCAATGCTTCCAAAAAAATCCCTTTTCATGCCCTTTCACAAACTAAAACTCCACCCCAGTTAGTATGCCGGACCATTAACTTCACAAATAACCAACTCCTATTCCTTATAGTCCATCTTCCCTTCTGATGGAAAATATGATTGCAGTTCTTGAAAAGTTGAAATTGCCTTTTCCCTTTCTGGAAATAATCAGAAGCCTCAAGTATGACATATATCTTGACTAGGATTCTTTAGGATTTGAGGTCCGTCCCATGGAAACCAAGAAAAAAAATATTGCAGCTCAAATATCCTTTGGGAACAAACCATGAAGCATTTGAACAACATATAATTACACCTCATAGCTTGTTCTATCACCAGTCTTTTATTCTTCTTTTTTTGTGGCAAAAGTTAAACAGGATACTCTGCTGAAAGTATAGGAAACACAGACTAAAATTCAGCTCTGGATTATGTTTCTGACGGTCATTGATCTTCGTACTACCTAATTTCAAAGGTAGTTGGGGATAGGAGCAGTATCTGGAACTCCCCTAGAGTCTAAATCAAGACCTCCAGTTGTATCTCCCAAAGGAAGACAAGTGTCTGGAGAGAATATTGCAGTGACCATGGGACCTGCTAATAGTCCACTTTAAAGGATTAATCAGTGGTGCTAACCTTTGTCCTTCTTCAAATTCACTCCAATATAACCTATTGCTGATTAAGGCTTTAGAATAGTTAACTATACATTTATACACTTGGATTTCTAAATTTCCTGAGGTATAATATTTTCCTTTACTGGTTTCTGCTTTCCTCTACTGTTCAAGCAAAATGTGTAGTGGAAGGAAGAGGTGGGTGTGTACCCTTAGCTGTATTAAGGCCAGTTCTGCTATCAAACTAACCCTTCCTTGTTTCTGCTTCAGATTTTCTCAGGATAGCTTACCCAACTTTCCATGGGTATTGTCTGTTCTCAAAGCCTGAGGCATATGGTGCTGACAGTAAAATGTTTGCATACAAGCATAAACCTGTTCAGGTCACGAAGCCCAATCTACTCTGATTAAAAGGAAGTAATTTTATTTAATCCTTCGCTTTTTGTGCATGAAATAAGGAGGTGTTAAAAAAATGGGATTAGAAATGAAACTTTTATGTAGGAATAGATATGACTGCCTGAAGTGTTCCCTGTTTCTTGAAGTGAGTTCCCACCGGTAGTGCTTTCATTTTTATTGGCAAGCTCAAGTATAGTCCTTTATACTTAAGATTACCAGCAACTCAAGCATAGATCTCCACAAAAATAATTCTAGTGGGGGCAAGCTCTATGACCTGTAACTGCAGGTTGTTGACTTGCCTATTTGCAGTCTTTCTAAAACTGAACCCCACACGCCATTACACGGTGCTGAAGAAAAGTCATGAGAAACTGTGGCAATTTACCGTATTTTATGGGAT